TATATATATATAAATATATATATATATAAAAGCTATCACACATGATCTTGCTTAAAATAATGAGACTCGTATTATTGCTTTGAAGTCGAGCTAGTTTCTTGATCTCATCTCGCAGCCCCTCCTGCAACCGGGTTTGGCGCGCCATGTCGCGGGGGAAAAGCAGACCTCGCTTGCAGAGCGGGATCGAAGCCCAGGGGCAGAGAAATACCTCAAGGCCCCCAAATCACTGCCGAAGACGTGCCCGCGCCTAGCCTCAGTGGCTGACAAGGACCGGGGCGTACTCCTCCCCTGCCCGCTCTGCACTTGAACCAAAAAAAGTGAATTTCAGCTGAAAAAATGGGAAATTCAGCTATGAATTTAGCCCTGCCAGCGCTCTACAGGGTAATGGGGTGACTGCTTTCCCAGCTGCACGTAATCCTCAGCTAGGGGGTCCCAACAGCAGATGGGGCAAGGAGAAAGCGAGGCGTGCGAGCCAGGGTGAGCGATCTCTCACACACTCCAGGTTGAGCGGGAAACACGTGCAGAGCCGAGATGAAGGCTGGGAAGTGAATAAAATGCACCAACTTAATGTGCTACCGTTATAACTCCCCCAGTGAAGGGAACAGCCTCATGCCAAACTGCGTGCGCCCTCCCTTTTTTACCTGTGCCCCACGGCAGTACAAACAGCATGTATAAATATACATTTTTTTTTTAAATAGCACAGCTTGCAGGGTTGCAGGCACAAGGAACAGCTTGTCTCCTGAGTTCAGACAGCATTTGGGGCACAGCACAAAGAAAGAAAGAAAACAGTAAAGAGGTAAACAGGCCTTCAAGGCCAAAAACAGGCTAAAAATCCACTATTTCCTGTGGCACAGAGAGAGGCAAACAGTGTATTTTTCCAAGTCTCAAAACAGTAATATCTCAAAACATTAAATATGCCCCAGAAGAACAAGTTAGCACGCTGTCATTCCTTCCTCCTCACAAAGGGGAAGCTTTTCAGCAATTCAGCAGACTACTCCTACTTCAAAACAGCGGATACTTGGCGGAGTCCACAGTTTTCAAGCCACAACTGAAGCGGTTGGCAGGAAAAGCTGTAACGTGCTTAAGACCCACTGCCAGGCCCTAACTGGAACTGAACTGAAAGAGCAGCAACTATTCTTTCAGTACATCCAGACAAGCCACTGCAATTAAAAGCTGCACCTCCCCAGCCTGACGGTATTTTTGGTGGATAACGTATGTAAAGTTTTGCACAAATTCTCACGCGGACCAGAATCTAATGGAAATCTGTGAGACAAAAAGGCATAAGGGAGCATGGAGACACTGACCCTGCTTATAAAACACATACAAGAGCCTCCAACTGTCAGGAAAGCTCACTGTGAGAAGAGTCTTTTCTTTACTACTACAGACCTCATGTTTGTCACCAAAAGAGAGTTAAATAAAGAACGAAGACCCAGCAACAACAGCAGCTGTCGTCTTATACTCAACAGAGACAGCGGTACATTGCAAAATAAAACAGAAGCCTGCAAACCTCTGGCAAATAATTTTTAAAAATCCCTGAAGATGAAAGAGACGGGAAGTAGCATACTGAATACCTGGATTTTGCTTTTCAAAAGCTGCCACACTTCAGGACTATAATTGGAATTTCTGTTTAGCAACGTGAGTTTTTTAAGTAACATACTAACTACAGATATATACCATGAGGCAAAAATAGCCTCTAAACTGTGGGTAGAGATACATAAAAGAAAATTTTTTATAGTTTGGACTGAGCTTTGTGTCAAAAGGAATCTGTTGACAATTTGCACATTACCTACAAAATTATAAATAAATAACCTCTTAGTGGTTTGTATTACACATTTCTACACAGAAGAGAAGATTTTAAAACAACAGAGTTACTGTAGCTTTAGTTTCTGTAGAGCTAAAAGGTCTCCTTTGTTGACCTGATATAAAAGCATACACATTACCCACTTTCCACATTTAATATCCAAATATGCCTTATTGTTTAACAATTAAGAGTACTTTTCACTACAAGTAATTAGATTCTTCAAGATAATGCAAACACTTCAGCTACCTATTAAATAATTACCCCTCTCAATTCCCCTCCCAATCGGTCACATTTGAAAAATTATCTTTTTCCTCACACCAACGACTAGCAGAAACATGTTACCATCATTATGTCAACGTTTTCATAATATGAAGCTATGATGCTGAGAGGTCTGGAAATTACACAGCAACCTTCTGTATGATTTGTCCATTTGTGAACTCATTTTGACTTTGCTATGAATACTGACGATGGCTCATCCAAAAATGTTCAATAAAACTAGTCTAAATTCTAAGTGGGCTATATACTTACATGAGGTGTGCTGACAGTAGCATCCAAAATCAACTTCTCTCACTCCAAATATCAAATTCACTTCCATTTAAAAAATACCTTTAGGAAAAACTGTTATTAGATTCACAGAAGTCACACAATATACAATGAAATGCTTTCTGTAAGAACAAGTTATGTTCAAATTGTACTGGTTTATTTACAACTGTATTTTATAAACAGTAACACAAACATCTTTACATGAAAAAAATCTCATTGCTGAAGTAGGCACAGAGTCAGAGACTCCTCAGGAGACTTTCAGAAGGGAGTAGGAAGAGGAAAAAGTAATACAACAGCTGCAGGGGAAAACTATAAATACATGAGCATTGGCCCAGGTGCAATTTCATGCAAATATCTTTAACAGTTCAAGTTCTATTGGTGTTTACTCAGATACTAAGAAAGAAAGAAAGAAAGAGAGAGAGAGAGAAAGAAAAAATTAGTTCCAGAATTAAGGTGCCCCAGCTTGATTCCTACTAAAATAACTTAGAAGAGCTGTTTTTTATAAAGGTCAGTTTCATTTAGCTTATCTCATTAGATTGTACCAATTCATGGGTTTTGACTCAAATACTCAAAAGAGTCCACAGAGGACAGCTAATCCCAGTTACTGTTATTCCACAGTTTTTCATAATTGCCACATCAGTCTACACAGAGGTATTCCTGGACTGGGCTTGTTAGCAAGAGAACCGCTCTTGGATCAAGTGGAAAGCTGCAGATATACAATAACATAGCTGCCAGTTCTCAAATACTACCTTATTTAGAAAATCATGTTAGTTAAAAGAATATAAACGTATGATTGAATCGATGAAGGCAACAGGTAAGGAATACATTTATCGCAGGCACACAGCACTTGACTCACTGTGTGCATTAATTTTCTTGTGGAACACACCTTCAATAGTTCAAACTGTTTTTAAAAAGTCTAATTAATATCTTAGACATTTCACTTCCGAGGAGACAGGTAACCTGTTTTCAGCTGTTATGTTCTGTCACAAAGCATAAACTCCAATTTCAATGCATACATTCACTTTTACATGAGAAACTCTCAACCTACAAAATGTAAACTTTTGCATAATTACAAAACTGCAACCCTGTAGTAAGTTTATTATTGTGTACAACTCAGTTTGGTATTTGAAAATGCACTTATTTACCAATTACAATTATTTAACCTAATAGGACATCTTTAAAAGTTAATTTCACAGTATTTGCTTGCATTTTTTAATTCGTCTGGAGTTCGAGATGCACTTAACCAGATTCCAATCATTTTTAATGAGAAGGAAGAGGTATTTCTAAGATTCTATCTGCTTTGCTTACAAACCTGGGTGTTTTTAATCAACCCTTGATACTACCCAGTAGGCAAAAATCAAATTTAGAGACTGGAGGCTACGGAGATATTTTACTACCAGATGTCCAAATCATTTAAGACGGTTCTGTTTACAACCGTTTCTCCATAGCTGACAGTGCTGCATTCCTTTAACGTAGTCATATGAACCCAACTTCATTCTGCACCCTCTCTTACAAAGATACAGATCACTTATATTAAAGCTTCTTTACAAACAAAACAAACTGACCTTTATAATAAACATTTCTGCAAAAAGAGAATATATTAATCAAAAAGAAAATTTAAAAGAACTGCTCAGAAATTGATAATAATTTACCCTATCTTAAGCCTGCTACTCAGGCACTCCCATCAGCAAACAGAAAAACTCTCTTAAGTTAGTATTCAGTTGGGAAGCTGTCAGTCTGTGTCCACATACAGTATCTTAGTTGCTTCTTCTTTATAAACCGTTCTTTGCAAAGTCTTTAGATATTAACTCTCCAAGGCATCCAATACTTTCATGATCTGTTGTTTTATGGCTTTGGTAGCATCACCTGCATTTGGAATCAAATACCTTAAAAACAAAACAAAAACCCCATTAATTTACTATAAAACTGTGTGTATAGGCTTCACAATTCTTGTCTTGATGTTTCCTCCAGGGAAGTCTGAAGTGGAAGGAGGAGGGGAAGCTACTAAAATGAAAACCTACAGAGGATATAACAGTTATTTCTAATTAATACTATGGAACATGAGTAGGTCATTCAGTTGCCACCCTCCCCGTTCTATATTTGCTCCAGTCAATAAAAGAGTGATATTCAACAAGTAGCAAAGCTTTCTGCAACACAGATAATTTAGCTGTGGTGTCTGACCTTCTACCAAACTCATTTCACTCTGAGCAGCCAACAGGAACAGAATAACTTTCCCAGTGAACTAGGAAACTCATCTCCCACTTCTTGTGAAAACAGAACACCCACTGCATGCAGTTTTCCCCAAGGAAGAGGAAACGTATAAGAAAGCAACCAACTGTGCTAGCAACTTTGTTAAATCACTGCTGAAAACAGCGATTGAGTGGGGCTAAAGAAAAACCCCAAAATACCCAATTTCCCGCCTGCTCCCAATCTTAGCTACTCCCATGCTGAACACGGCAATACCTAACTTTCAGGAATCAGGTTCACGGAGAGGGGTCCAGAGTTTGACGTTGGGCTTCTGGACTCTTTATACAGTGCATGGCAAGAGTTAGATGCCTCACAACAGAAACTACAGAAGAGAGACCTCTCTCTTAAATCCCATACTTCACAGATTTAGTCTTTAGGCTGCAAGTAGCTGCCCACGTTGTTGTCGTCATTTGAGACGTACTACAAAAAGCAGACACTTGCACACACCCCATTCCCAACAATGGTGGTTGCAGACCTTGGAGTCCACTCTCTGCTGTGTGTGGTAACTCTCCTCACCCTGCTGACAGATCTCTTCCACATTCTAGTGCGCATTAGGATAACTGCTCCCGAATAGAAACTTACTTTCAAACCCAGTTCTGGGAAGTATAGCGTGCCTCTGATTTCCAGTTGACAGCATTCTGTGTATCGTCAGCCTTCGTATCAGTGCTACAGGCATCGCTTACCTTTCAACTGCCAAAATTTCTATGCCAGAAGTATTGCTATTTCCATATTTAAAGGTGATCAGTTCTGGGTGCTTCTTCTTGGATGTGATTTTGACTACCGAGTTGAGTGCCTGGCGAGACTGTATGTAAGCCAACCCCTTTCGTGACGGAATCTCCCTCAAACAGTACATATGGGTTGCAGTTACGAGGAGATGACTTGAAGGGAGAGAAAGATATAAATTATATTTGCTAATTAATTAAATATCAGCTATTTAGAAAGTTAAATTCCACAGATATGCTACAGTATGAGGCAGATAAAAAGTTTTCAAGTCCAAGAAGCCGTCTTATTCTTTTAAAATCTTTAATTTAGAAAGGTCTACAAAATACTTCAGATATTCAAGTATGGCATCATGCCACACTTGGGAGTGACTTCCTGTTCCTGAAAATAAGCCTGTGCACGTTGAGATCATTTTTCTTACTATCTTCTTTTAGAAAGCAAAACTTTGTATTATATTTTGTATGCAATTAACATTCTATAGCACTACAAAAATAAGAAATGTTATAGTGAGTAACATTTTGTTCTAGGTTGTCTCGCACCTTCATTTTCCAGTTTAATATCAAGAAATAATCTAACAGTGCAATAATTAAAAAATATGTACATAGACAGACATTTTCGTAAAGTTTGAGACTGACTCCAGTACCTGGGAAACATATGTCCATTTTCTTTTACTTCATTACAAGGGAAGTTATACTTCACATCGGGTTTATTTATCCACGTCTGGATGTTGACAACCTCTTTTCGATCATCATCTGACATTGAGGAGCTATCAATTTCATCTGTTTGGAATGGGGGAGTGGTTAAAGGAAAAAAAAGAAATTATTTTCACATGATGTCAGATAGCTTTTCAACTCTTTTAAAGCAATAATAGCTATTTGGGTTCAAATCCAGGGTCCATCTAGCTCCACGTCTTATATCTAGTAGTGTCCATTAGAAGACGCTTAAAGGAAATAAAGAACAAAGCATGCATACTTGATATTTCGCTATTAATTCTTTCTCAGAATACAATTATTTTTAGCTCAGGTGATTTCTTAAGCTTGTATGATTTGCCCATTCACTAAACTTCGATAGATGTCTTCTGCCTGTACTTGTCTAGCCTTTCATTGAACTCACGTAAACTTTTTGCATCCTGCAACACTGACAGCTTTTGGCAAGGTGTTGTCACCTACTTTCCAGGAAGACCTCGTTTTGTTTGTTTCGAGATTGCGTACTTCATTTGATGGCTCCTACTTTCTTGTATGAGAAGAAATAATCATCAGCTGATCCCTGTCTACCCTCTCCAGACCACTTACCAAGCACGATTTTGCGGCTCACTTACCATTTCCTCCCCTAAACTGTCTCACAGGACAAAAGTCATAACGTACTCAGTTATTCCTGTTATGAAAGCCATTTCACACCTTTGCTCACTCTTATTATCCCTCTCTGAACCTTCTCCTATTCTCACATACCCTTTCTGAGACAGAGGATCAAGATACACACAGTATTCAACATGTGGGTGAACCACGGGTTTACGTAGTGACATAATGGTCTCTGCTTTATTCCTCTGTTCCTTTCCTAATAATTCCTAGAATTTAATTTGCTTTTCTGTCTGCTAATGAGCACTACCTATCATCAATCTATCGTCGCATTCCTTTACAGACACAGTCAGAACAGTCTGTCATTTTATATGTGAAACTAAAACTTTTTCCCACATCTGTCTCACTTTACATTAATCTATACCAAATTTCACCTGTCATTTCATTGTCCAGTCACTCAAACTTACAAGTACTTCCGCAATCCTTCAGCCTGTCTTTGTCCTTACTACATTGAATTACTTTGGATCATTAGCAGAAGTTGTTACCTCAGGGTTCACCTCTTTTTCTAGGACATTCAAAAATATATTTAAAGGCAAAATTTGCAGCACAGACCTCTGTGAAAAACCTGGAGCTTTTAAAAGTGTTATCACTTAGTTGCAAAATGCTGTTGTTGTGTCTAAATTGGTGGAATGTTATGTTTGCACAGTACTGTTAGTACTAAACTAGAAGAATTTAAGCAATCTAGTTATTTAGAGCGATGAATTATATGAAATCCATAGAATTTGCCCCC